AGCTCACACCCCGGGGCATCCCGCAGCCCAGCGGGATTTTGCCGCGATCCGAGCAACCCCCGCACCCCCGAGCCCTCCCCCAGTGGGGCTGAAAACCAGCAGTAAATGTTGAATTTTGCTGCTGCTGCTGCTGCTTCGGGTAGTTTTCCTTTCTTGGCTTTGGCAAGAGCGCCGGCCCGGGTGAAGCTGTTGCAGCAACCGAGCTGGGGCTGACGCGAGCAGGAAAGAGCCGGGGGTGCTGGGCCCTGTTTGAGGAGCCAAACTGCAGTTGTTGTTGTTTTTGTGACACCGGGAGGTTGCGAAACGTCGGGGCTGCAATACCCGTGACTTTCAAAAACAAGCCCTCGGTCCAGCTGGGCTCCCTGAGGGGAGAGCTGGGAACAGCCTGAAGGGGCTCCAGGAAAGCTGGGGAGGGGCTTTCTGTGAGGGTTTGTGGTGAGAGGACAAGGGGGGATGGAATAAAACTGGGAGGGGGAGATTTAAGTTGGACATGAGGAGGAAATTCTGGGCTGTGAGGGTGGTGAGAGCCTGGCCCAGGTTGCCCAGGGAAGCTGTGGCTGCCCCATCCCTGGGGGTGTTGAAGGGCAGGTTGGATGGGGCTTGGAGCAGCCTGGGCTGGTGGGAGGTGTCCCTGTCCATGCAGGGGGTTGGATCTAGATGATCTTGAAGGTCTCTCCCAGCCCAAACCATTCCATGATTCACTTGGCTCTACTGCCATCCTCTCAGCCAGAGGACAGGGGAGATCTCTTTGCTCTGTACAACTGCCTGGAAGGAGGTTGTAGAGAGGCAAGTGTAGGTCGGGTCTTCTCTCACAAGTAACAAGCAATAGGATGGTAGGAAATAGCCTCAAGTTGTACCAGGGAACGTTTAGGCTGGACATTAGGAAAAACTTCTTCACAGAAAGGATTGTCAAGCACTGGAATAGGCTGTCCAGGGAAGTGGTGGACTCACCCTCCTTGGATGTGTTTAGAAGTCATGTCCATGTGGTGCTGAGGAACATGGTTTAGTGGTGGACTTGGCAGAATTGGGTTAATGGTTAGACTTGATGATCTTAAAGGTCTTTTCCAAACAGAAGACTCTGATTCCCCACTGCTGGGGATAGTTGTGCCAGCAATGCTTGGGTTTTCTTGGTTTGGTTTGGCTTGGCTTTTGGGGGGATATCAACCCCAAAAGCTTGTTTTAGAGAGAAAAAGCCCAAATTCCTCAGCTGTGGAGGTTTCTCTGCTCCAGGCACCCCTGGCTGGCCCCGGTGGGGGGGTCAGTTTGAGCTGCTGCCCATCCGTGGGTGAGACCCAGTCCTTGAATTCTGCCTGGAGAATAAACAAAATATCCCGGGGATCCGTTTGTTTGCACAGAGATTAAGTCAAAGCAGCTCCTGAATGGTCACCTAATCCCCCCGGGAGCTGGTGGCATTGTGTAGGTGGTGGCAGTGGTGGCATTTTGCCCAGCAAATAATCCTGCTGCCTGCCAGGGCTTGTGGTGGGGCTGGGAAAAACCAGCCTGGCATCGGCTCCTCTCTGGGAACTGGGGAGGGAGGAAAGGTGCTGGGTTTGGGAAAAGGGTTGGGAGAGGGATGGATGGAGAAGGGAAAGGGCTGGGAGAGTGAGGTGGAGAGATAGATGAGGAAAGGGGCCAGAGGGATTGTAGCCTTCTCTGTTTCCTGAGCTCAAGGCTGTTCCTCTGCAGGTCTGTGGGTTTCCCAAGGCTGGAAAACGAGTTAAACTCCCCAGTCTGGGAGCAAAATCCCAGCCCAGAGCTGCAGGGATGCTTATCTGCCTCCCTGGGGGCTCAGGCCCCCCAAGAGCTGATGTTTATGGAGTCACAACAAACCCCTCTGGCTATTTTATGGTTTCTCTCTGGTGCCAACCTGAGCTTGGATCCACCAGCCCAAAGCAAATCCCAGGCCCTGGGCATCTTCCCACAGCTCCCCCCGGCTGCACCGCCGCCTTTTTTGGGATGCAGGGTCAAATTTTCCACTTGGAGTGCTCACTGCAGAGCTGTCCCCTGCTCGGTGTAACGAGTTGCCCGTTCTCAGGCTGTGGGCCTGGCCGGGTGTCACCCGTGCCCCGCGGCGTGTCTGGGTCCCGTGTGGTGTGGGATCCAGGGAAGGTCACGTCCCGGCGTCACGGGGCTGAGAGTGGCCCCCAGAGACTCATTTGGAAAGCAGTCCTGTGAAATTTAAACTTAATAGGGAGCCCTGAGCCACTGGCTCGTGCTAATTGGCAAGGCTGGTTTAAATAGTGTTCAGTGACATGTTGCCCGTGGGCTCCGTGTGGCGCCGGGTTCCCTGCAGAGACCGGTCAGCTCGGGACACGTGTGGGGCTGTGGGTGGGAACAGGGCTGTCCCTGGAGGTGTTGGGGGGACGTGAGTGGCACCGGGAGGGGGTGACCTCATGGGGGTGAGGTGGGGGGGGGGAGGTTACTGCCCCTCCCTGGCTCTCCAAGGGGGGGTTTTAAACCTGGGACTGGTTGCCCTGGTCTGGGCTTGTTCCGTGACTGGGAATGATTAACTGGAGCAGGGCTGGCCTGGAGATGGGCAGTGTGCTGCCTCTGCCACCCTGGTGCCTGTGTCCCCCCCCCTGGTGCCCGTGTCC